GGGATTTGTGCCCTGTTTCTTAATAATCTGCCCTGGAGGTTGGTATTCATGCTCCTGAGCCCCTCCAGACAGTTTGACACCTGGAGGAAGGCATTCTCACTGTTGTAGTTACTTGGACAAACGGATTAGTGAGGAGTCCAGTAGGACCTCAAAGGCTTCATGCTATGTCACTGAATGGAAGGCAGAAGATGTCACTGGAAGGAGAGGTCAGAGTCTTGACTGGCTCCTTAAAACATTTTGTTCTTCCCACCAACATCACTATGGTGGAAGAGGTATTTGTCTGAGCAGCTTTGATTCTGGTACTGCACTGATTGCCTCAACCACACTGCCACATCTCACCAGTTCACAACCTAACTACCTGCACTCAATGCAATATAGAGGACACCTGCAACCTTATTGGAGCAGGTAAACCCTATCACAGGTTTCTCATGTCTTTGTGTGGAACCCAGGCATAGAGTTGGATGAGCTAGTGACCTCTCACCTGACTGTTATGAAACTCATAAAATGTGCTGTGTCTCAGATCAACCTGACTTGAGACCTACAAAAATTAATCTAACAAATACAGGTTTTACATATCAGAATCTGGAACATGTTACCCTTGAAGAAGGAAGGCTCAAAGGCACTGCTTGTCAGAGAAATGTCTAAGTTAAAGATGTCAGTCACTGGTCTCACTGAAATCCACCTTAAAGACAGCAGTTAGGAAAGAATAGGTGCCAGTCACCAATGCTCCCTAAGGTGGTATGGTCATCTGCTCCAAATGCCTACCAACCTCTTTGTAAGAATCATTTTCAAGTTTTCTCTGCTGCTTTCAAGCACTCCTGGAAGACCTAAAACATGATGGCTGTCCTTCAGAAGTTTTCAACCATGTAACATGCTAGGTTTGGCTCAGGACAGAACATCATGGAGGTACATAACTCGTTCAATTACCTCTATGCTGTCCAAGCAACAGAATGAGAATTAAGTGACCACCAACGTCTCCATCGAGTTGCTTGGGTGTAGTTTGAACTATCAGCTCTGGATCCAGGTGTTATCTAGTCAGACACTGAAACTTTCTGATGGAAATGGTCATAAATTCTGAGGAGATATAGAGCCTGGTGGTGAGGGATATTAAGAAGTTTCTACAGGATTGCATTAAAACAGGAGGTTCTCAAACTACTGTCTGTGGACCACTGGTGGTTCACATACAGTGCTTGCTTGCGGTTCATAGAGAATTGGCTGGTCACAGGGCATTGGCTCTTCCTATTTTCAGCTATTAAAGTGAGTTAAAAGACAGCTAAAATACATTAACTGGTTTTCTAATATTTTTCAATATCAGTTCCTACAGTTGCCATAGGGGTGTTATGCCATCATGGAAAGGTCCATGGGACTGCAAATGGGAAGGATGGTGGCCACAAAAAGTCTCTCTATTAAGAGCTGGTCCACATTATTAAAAAGTTTGAGAACCCCTGAATTAGGAGGTGGTCAGGGACAAATTTAAATTTAAATAGCAATTCCTTTTTGTCCTAAATTTAATTTAAGTTTAACCCAGAACCGATGCTAAGGCTATACTGCTGCTCAAAAATAGAAGTATATGTACATTGCTGTTGAATATATCACAGGTGAGAAAATTATTAGAATGCATACCTAAGAGGGAAGAGAATATCAAAAAATCTTAACTCAATAGAGATGTACTGGATTATTCTGACAATGAAAGCAATGTAAATATAAATGAATGAAAATATATCAAGTGTAAGGTGTAGCACAAAATGATACAAATATCTTGTATTTGAGAAATAGTATATTATCATATAGCTGAAGATTATATGTAGGCATATATACAAGAGGGCAGAGTTAAGGTAGCAGCTGCAGCCTTAATTGTGATATTTTCTGATTGCTTAAATATATAGCCCTAACATTTCTTTACTGTATTTTTTGTTTCTTTTGTTTTGCAAGGTCTACGTTTTTCATGATGGAAATGAACTCCAGCCAGGTGCTCCAGAATATTAAGAGAGCCACAATACACACATATGCATTCCATGAATCAATTATCGAAGTTCTATTTCAGTCTGAAGCTAGAAGCCAGATGAAGGGAGTAATTGGCTGCTCTGAATCACCAGGATGATAGAAATAATGACAGAGAAAAGCTGGAACATTCTGAATAGCCTAAAATTGGAGTCCTGAGCCAAACCTCTCTCACCTGAAAAAATAAAGAATGAGCACTGGAAACCCTCCCAATGAGTCTGAACATTCAGAAGACATCACCATCACCATCCAGAAGTCTCTGCAAGATACTATTGCTAAGACTTCTATTACAAATAGGTTTAGATGAGGTTAGTAATCATTTTTAAAATAAATGTTACTTTGAAATATTTTTCATTAAAAACACAGAAACTATCTTCCTTCCATTTTAAATCAGGTGCATCTAATCTCCAGTTTTATAATTCCCTGCATTTCAAAATTAATTTCACAGTTAAACAATAGAATACCAATTTAAATGTATTAAATATTTTTGGTTGTTTTTCAAATATATTGATTTCTCTTACAACACAGAATACAAAGCCTACAGTGCTCACTTTATATTTATTACAAATATTTGCACTGTAAAAATGATAAACAAAAGAAACAGTATTTTTCAATTCACCTCATACACATACTGTAGTGCAATCTCTTTATCGTGAATGCGCAACTTACAAATGTAGATTTTTTTTGGTTACATAACTGCACTCAAAACCAATGTAAAACTTTAGAGCCTACAAGTCCACTCAGTTCTACTTCAGCCAATCGCTAAGACAAACATATTTGTTTACATTTACGGGAGATAATGTTGCCCGCTACTTATTTACAATGTCACCTGAAAGTCAGAACAGGCATTTGCATGGCACTTTTGCAGCTGGCGTTGCAAGGTATTTACGTGCCAGATATGGTTAACATTCATATGCCCCTTCATGCTTCAGCCACCATTCCAGAGGACATGCTTCCATGCTGATGATACTCGTTAAAAATATCTGTTAATTAAATTTATGAATGAACTCCTTGGGGAAGAATTGTATGTCTCCTGTTATGTTTTACCCGCATTCTGCCATTTATTTCTTGTTACAGCAGTCTCGGATGATGACCCAGCACATGTTCATTTTAAGAACACTTTCACTGCAGATTTGACAAAACATAAAGAAGGTACCAATGTGAGATTTCTAACAATAGCTACAGCACTCGACCCAAAGTTTAAGAATCTGAAGTGCCTTCCAAAATCTGAAAGGGATGAGGTGTGGAACATGCTTTCAGAAGCCTTAAAGAGCAACACTCCAATGTGGAAACCACAGAACTTGAACCACCAAAAAAGAAAATCAACCTTTTGCTGGTAGCATCTGACTCAAATGATGAAAATGAACATGCATTGGTCCGCTCTGCTTTGGATCATTATCGAGCAGAACCCATCATCAGCATGGATGCATGTCCTCTGGAATGGTGGTTGAAGCATGAAGGGAGATATGAATCTTTAATGCATCTGTCATGTAAATATCTTGCGACGCTGGCTACAACAGTGCCATGCGAACGCGTGTTCTCACTTTCAGGTGATATTGTAAACAAGAAGCAGGCAGCATTATCTCCTGCAAATTGTAACCAACCCTGTTTGTCTGAGGGATTGGCTGAAGTAGGACTGAGTGGACTTGTAGGCGCTAAAGTTTTACATTGTTTTATTTTTGAATGCAGTGTTCTTTTGTACATAATTCTACATTTTTAAGTTCAACTTTCATGATAAAGAGATTGCACGACAGTACTTGTATTAGGTGACTTGAAATATACTATTTCTTTTTTTACAGTGCAAATATTTGTAATAAAAAATAATATAAAGTGAGCACTGTACACGTTGTATTCTATGTTGTTTATTTATAATTTAAATCAATATATTTGAAAATGTAGAAAACATCCAAAAATATTTAAATAAGTGGTATTCTATTATTGTTTAACAGCGCAATTAATCATGCGATTAGTCACGATTAATTTTTTTTTATCTCTGCCTGTCCCCTCCCCTTGCCTTCTGTCTGTTTCTTGTAACTAAAAGGAGCAGTAATTTAAAGGAGGGAGAGAAGACATCTACTGGGGAAATGCTCAAAAAACTCACTACTAAAACATCCCAAATGCCTCTTGGAAAGAACCTTTGCTCTGAGAACAGCACAATAAAGGTTATTTGATGGCAGTGTCATCTATTTATAAAACTTTTCCTCTAAACATTAAACACCAGATATCTCTAGTACAATCAGTTTTGGGATGTGCAGCAACCAGTGTTGACATCTAAAGCTGATTCTTCTCTCACACCAGCATAACTCCAGTGTCCCAGTGTAATTACTTGTGATTTAGCTCAATGTATCTGAGATCAGAATCAGGTCCTCAATATTTCAATACAGGAAAAGGAAATGAATTCAGGTGCATCGTGTGCTGTTGCATGGTGCTGGAATAACAGCTCTGAAGGTGGCAACCCTTTATTAATCCACAGAAGTAGTACAGTAAGAGCAGCAGTACTGCAAGTTTCTCCAAACTACCCCACCAATGTGCTTCATACCTGACCTAGATACATGGTAATTAACCGTCCGTTGCCATACAAGTCTTGGCCTACCCTCAGAAACAGTCCACAAGATGGCAATAATGATGCTGGGTTTTACGATGTGGATACCTGTTCACTGGGAACTGAACTGAGACCATCGATTTGTTTCACAGAGTGAATGGCATATTGCAGAAAGAAACAACATTTAGGATTGGATTTCACTCATGATAGCCTGGGGCCAGACAAATCCACTTGTGAGAAAACAAATGAATTATAAAATATTAGGGGTGAAATCCTACCCACACTGAAGTCAATGCCTAAATTTCCATTGACTTCGATTCAGCCAGGATATCACCCTTGTTTTGTCATGGTTGGGGTTTTTGGCCAACAACAACAGTTGCCTCTTTGCTTAACTGTGTTGGTTGTCTAGTTAAGCAGCCATCAGTGCTAAAAAATGTGTTTGTTGCTGTGTACGTACCACCTTTCATCATTCCCACTTCATAGCACTTTCGCAGCCGGCAGGCCTGACAGCTCTTTCTCCTGTTCTTGTCGATGGTGCACTGGTTAGTAGCGGGACACATGTAGTCGTTGTGCCCTATATAGCCAGAGGGAAAATATAAAGTAGAATTAATGAAAAATAGACAATCCCTTAACAGAGTAGTTTCCAGGGTTCCTGTAATACTTTATCTTAAATTTCTCTTTGAGTATTTTTCACGGCAGCTATAATCATAAGGAATTTGATAGCTTTCCCCAAACAAGCGTGTTAGGTGTTGTAGTGATTCGGTGTGGCTCCCCTCCTGCCCAGAGGAGGGAGCACTGGAGCAGACACCGGAGTGGGCGGAGCCACAGCCACCTGTGCCCGCCCCCCGGAAGTCAAGGGGCGGGACAGGAAGTATAAAGGCTGGCCGCCAGAGCTCAGTCAGAGCCCGGCCACCACAGGGAGCAGACGTGCGGCCGGGAGCTCCCGACCAGGATACCGCTGAGGCCCGAGGATATTCTCCTAGCTGGCCGGAGCTGCCCCGGGCTCACTACGACGAAGAGCCGCCGGAGCCCGTCCGTTCCCGTCATTGGGGGGAGCCCTTGGAACTCCCCCACAGCAACCCCGACGGTGAGACCGCCGCAGAACCCCTTCGGCCCTGCTGTTACCCGGAGGAACCGCCCGAGTGCAACTGGCCGGACTTTCCGACGGAGCTGCCGGACCTGCCACCAAGCCCCGGCCGGGAGGAGCCTATGCTGGTCGACTGGACCCTGCCCGGTGCCGCGGACGAGGTAGGCCCTGAGGGGGAAATTGGAAGTAGCCCGGGGGTAGCCGACCCCGGTCAGGCTGTCGAGGCATGCGAACCCATGTCAGTGTGTTTCGGTCAGGATACCCCACTGACCGGCAGCGGCAGTAACCGCTGTTAGGGCCCCGGGCTGGAACGCAGTGGAGTGGGTGGGCCTGCGTTCCCCCCTGCCACCCCCACACACGGGTGGCAGGCTTCCCCCTCACCCAACGCTCTGGTCTCGCCGCCAGGGCTTACCCCGAGTGAGTGTTGCTCAGCCCCTGTGTAAGGGGGCCTGAGCTCCCTAACTGGGTAGCTGCTCCGCCCCTGCTTCCAAGGGCCTGAGCAGTGTCGGTGTGTGCCCCGCCCTGAGCTAGGGCCTGGGCCGTTGAACTGCTATTGCCCCAGCCCCCCTGCACCAG